AGCAGGTAGTCCAGTTCCAACCATGTCTGGTGTAGCATTTCCGGAGTTACAGTAGCCGCAGTTATGGAAGCACGATTCAATATCACAGATGTTTCCCGAGTACACTTTGTCTTGCATGTAGCCCCAAAAGAAGAAATCGAGAGGAGTCATTTCGGGAGAACTTGGCGGCCAGACAATGGGGCTACTGCGTCCTATCCATTGGTTATGGAAGGTTGTATTTTCAAATGCACGAACATGCGTGTCCCAGTGAGGAGGGGCCCTATCTTGTTGGAAGATAACAGTGGGTTGTAAATGTTGCATTTGGGATATTGCGTAAATTTATAACACGTCCAGGTAAATGTTTGCCGTCACAGACGTCTTAGCAAAGAAAAATGGTCCTATGACTGTATCATGTGTCAGAGCACATCAGAAATTGATTTTTGGGCTGATCTATTCCTATTGCAGTGAATGGGGATTTTCTGAGTTGTGCCGAATTTTGAATTCCTGAATTCTGCAGTTGTGCTTATTAACATTGTTGCTAATGTGATATGTAGCTTCATCTGAAAAAAGATGCGGTTTAGAAAATTGTGTTTATTTTTTATGCAAGATAACATCTCAATCCGCTGCGACCAATAATTTGGTTGCAGTTTCTGCAGAATCTGCATTTTATATGCATGCATTATCAGTTTTCGATGCAGCACATCATGAATAGTTGATTGTGACATAGATAATTCAGAAGCTGTCTGCTTGATCGACTGACTCCAAACGAAAGACTGTCGAACATGTTCCACATGTGAATCAGAATGTGAGCGCCAATCACCTCCAGATCTTTTTCATACACTTCCCGTTTCGAGAAACATTTTCAGCCACTTTTTAATGCTCTTAGCTTGGGAGTGAATTTCTTTCATAAACTGTTTGAAACATTCTTTACACTTTTTACTACGGATTTGTGTTCTACACACCAGAGAACAATTTGTGCCTTCTCTTGCGGTGATGCCATTTTCAGTTTGTTGGCTCAGCAAAAGTGCAGGTGTGTCAGAAGCAAGAAAAAAAATATTGACGCCAAACTCTACGAATTCAGCTCCCACATGTGGCCAATGTTGCCCTCACAGCGCTAAAACTTTGTGTTTAACTGACTGTTCAAAATAGGTACATTTGATTCGGACACCCTGTATATAAAATTTAATTAACATTGAGGAGCTTTAGCTCCTCAATGTTAATTGATTTTGATAGCTAGTTTTTTAAAAACTACTATTTAAAAAAAATGCATGTCATTTAGGAAAAATTTTGATTTTGTGTAAAAATACCTATATTAAAAAAATGCTATATATAAATCTAATACATATCCTAAGTCGCACTTTCAAGACATGAAGAATGCAAATTGAATTTCGTCAATTGGCCCAGTAGAATGGGAAATATAAAACTTTCCCATTCTCTCTCTTTCTTTTTTTTTTTTTTTTTTTTTTTTGGCACAGTGCACATACACTGGTGTGCAAAAATTAAGGACGAAGTCAAAAAATTAGCATATCAGCTGAACGAAGAGGCAGAGCAGACAGAAAGACCAATCAGGAGATTAAGTAAGGTGATGTACGGTAGCACAGGCGCAGATATGCAGGTAGACGTAATGGGGGAGCGTCTGAGTAGTATAAAGCATGTTGTCGGTGTAAGATCAGTATTTCTGGCAAAGAGATTGCACACCGTATAGCAGTTAAAATCACACCGAGTTGCTGCCTCGGCGAGAAATGGCGAATAATCAATCTGTTAGACGACATCTGGATGCTTTTTTACCCGAGGGTCGAATCATTGGGAAGTTGGAGGAAGGCCGCAGTGTGACAAGTGTGGCTGCAGAGTTCGGAATTGCTCACAGCATCGTTTCACGACTTTGGAGACAATTTCAAACTACAGGAACAGCTATCCCGGGGGTTTAGTAGTGGTCATCCACGAGGAACCACACCCGCAGATGACTGGTATATTGCCTTACAGGCCAGAAGAAACAGGCGACAGACAGCGGGAGAAATCGCTAGACACACCACACAGGCGACTGGACGACCGATATCGCGTTTTACTGTGGCCAGAAGACTGCACGGTGGTGGTCTGTTTGCACGATGCCCTGTACGGTGTGTACCTCTAACGCCTGCCCATCGGAGAAGGCGTTCTCTGTGGTGCCAGGAACACCGGAACTGGAGAGACAATGAATGGGGACGAGTACTCTTTACAGATGAGAGCAGATTCAGTCTGAGTAGCGATTTTCATCTGGATAGAACAGGGAAGCCGCAATCATCCCTCGAACATCATTGAAAGGGACAGGTATGGAGGTGGTGTTCTCGTTTGGCGAGGCATCATGCTTGGTAGTCGTACAGACCTTCACATCTTCGACGCAGGTCCAGTTAATGGGACCCGTTATTGTAACGAGATTCTTCTTCCATATGTGCGTCTTTTTAGAGGCGCTATGGGTCCGCAGTTCCTTTTCATGGACGACAATGCACCATGTCATCGCAGAGTAGCTGCCGAACAGCTCTTAGAGAGTGAGGATATTGAACGTATGGATTGGCCGGCACGATCTCTGGATCTCAGTCCCATCGAGCATGTATGGGATTTTCTAGGCAGACGCTTGGCACCTCGTACCTTACCACCAGTAACGATTCTGGAACTTCGATTGGCGCTGCAAGACGAATGGGCAGCAATGCTTCAACAACTCATTGACACCCTCATTCTCAGCATGGGCAGACGCTGAGAATACCCTAGCAGTCAGGGGAGATCATATCCCCTATTAAAGACCGGATGTTTCTTGCTGGACACCCATCACAGGGATGTTTCGGCCTTCAGTCGCATTGTGCTCCATGCTACTTTTTCAATAATGCTTCTTTTTATCCCTCCGATTTCTCTTTTAGTAAATGTTGCTTATATTACTCATGTCCTTACGTATTGGGGATCTTACAGTATTAAATGTGTTGATTTGGAAAGCTTTTGTACAAAGTTATATTGAAAAAAACCGTCTCGTCCTTAATTTTTGCACACCAGTGTATATAAAGGCATTAGAATTGTGTGCAGCTGTGAACTTTGCTGATAGCAACAGAAACCCTGCCATTGATTTCTTGTTCGTCATCAGAAACTGTTTCTTCAATCTGTTGTTTAATAGCAGACACTTTTTCTTCATATTGTCCAACTTTGTTTTCAACCATGTCTATTCTACCTTCCACTCCCTTGAATCTGTTTTGTATTATAGCAGTAATTTCCATTTCCTCTTGACCTGCTTCCATCTTTTCTTGAACTGACTTAAGGGTCCGTTCCATCTCTAGACCTGTTTGCATCCCTTCTTTAATAGGCTTGATGGTCCCTTCCATTTTTTCTTGGAGTACAGCAAAGACCATCACCAGCTGTCTTAGTTGCTTTTTCATGGCTCATCACCAGCATTCATCCCAATCCCTGGCACTAAAAATCTTTGAATGCCTAGGGTTTGTAAGGGACTGAATGCACACAGAAACATGATAGCTTAAATTGATTTTCTTTAACACCTTACAGTTCTGGAACATTTCACGAAAGTATTCATACTTTCGCGGTAGTTACATTTCACACTACTAAGATCAGTAGTTACATTTCACACTACTAAGAGAGTTAAAACACAATGCAATGCACAGTGCATTTAAAAGGTGAAGCTTGAATGTAGCTCTCTCAATACTGCACAGTCAACTCTGAATTAAAAACTGATGCTCTCTCTGGTCTTATATTGTTTCTCTCAGCTGCCGAGGAATTTCCATTACCTCCTATTTCTTAAAATTACTAACATCCAGATTTAACTCCTACAGTTGTGCAATATTTTGATGCCAGACGATGATTTCAAAATCAGATTTTCTTGGGAGTGGTGAAATTACAATTTTAGCCAAACAAAGACGAACGAGAAATTCGACTGGAGTAAGCAAAGTATAAAAAGAAACTAAAATACTTTTATTCATTCTTAGCACTAGATCAGTAAACTTCCCACCCTTCCATCAACATAATATTTAATCCTAAAATCCTATAAACAATCCTTTAATTATCAGTTTGATTGAAATGCAGTAATATATAAGGTTCAGCATAGGTATGTCATATATTTGCAGATTTTCAATTCCCTCCCCTCTAATATAATTTATGAATCTTCAAACATAATACCTTTGAACAAGGTACACTAATTTCATAACTGCAAAACATTGAGCATTCGTAGGTAGTACTGCCATCTAGAATCAAAAGGAAACACTAAAAACAGAAGATTACAGCTTTTGGTATAGAAAATTAGCATTTTTTAGAAGGTTAAAAAATTGACAAACTTTCAGTATATTTTACATATGAGTGCCCTTTAAAGGGTTAAATGACCTGCCTTATACATAAAATTCTTAACAATATACTATAAGATGAAGCAGCAGAACATAAATTATGAATTGGTCCCGAAAGTTGGTTGAATGAAGACTAATAGTGATGCCATAAAGACATCATTGTCAACATTAGAAAACTATTCTTTTACTTGATTTTCCTTGTATTGCTCTAAAACATTTGATTTTAAATACAAACCACATTTATCTTCAAATTTCACTACAAATTATTCTTCTTCCTTATTATTTATTTAATTTTTTACTTAATTCCAGCTGTCATCTTCTGATTCCAAAATGAATTTATTTGTATCATAACATAATATAGCTTCAATTAAGTTAAAACACTGTAATAGCTTTGCACTTTGAAGAAAGCCTAATCATGCAAGAATCAACACTCATGCGTATTAAAAAAATCACTTTTACCTAACGATAAGCAGGAGAAGAATCTACAACAAACAGTTTATGGGAAGAATAAGTTAATGCAAAGTAGTTTTAGGAATTTTTCCATAGAATACTGCATACTTTGGGGGGGGGGGGGGGTAGAAAACAGACCATGGGGATTTTGACTACGGTCATTTCAATTACAGCAGTGTAAGTTGTGAAGAGGTTTAAAAAAATTTTTTTTAGCTAAGTCGCAAGAAAACAAGTGAACATTTTTAAAAAGGCTGAAATCACCTGAAATTCAAATGCACGTTTTGCCCCACAGCTGCATACAGGTATATCTTTCTCAGATGGCACATGTTCAGATGAAACCCACAGAGGTTCTCCTCTTCTTTGATAACGTAAAACCTATGGATTAAAAAAAGTACTTTATGAACTATTAAAATAATTAAAGCACAGGGTTAAGTACTTCTTATATAGTCTATGTCTGACTACTTATGATATTTTTGAGATTATAATTTTCCCATTAAATAATCTAACAAGTTCTATAAAAACTGGTAGAAAACTAAAAACAAGCTTACGTAAGATGTATAAATCAAAATGCAACTTTTTTTTAGATTAAATAATGAACTACAAAAGCATAAAAAGAGCTGTGTCTATGTAATAAATATATATTAGTAAAAAAGATATTAAGGTTTAGTTGCATGGCCATTTTCATGACTTTTCCCAAGTGTAATGTGATTATGAGCCAGTTTCTGTTAGAAAGTACTCCAAGAAACATTCCTTTCTTTACACACAAAATCCTCATTATAATCAATTACAATAACAAAAAAATATTAAAAGCAGTCATTAAGATGCATAAGCTCTTATGACCACAGATCAAGCATTTATTATTCTAAAAATCATAATATTAATTTGGAGGCAGCATTAACCATCTGAGCATTATGACTGGCTTTATCCGGTCATTAGAACTTTTGCTGCTTGGCATATATTAGCTTATAACTTATGATATTTTGCTTTCTTACTTTCTTTAATAATGTAAATATCATCTTAATGAATGTAAGTTTATAAAAATAGAGACTAAAATAAGTAATTATACAAACTCAATTAATAAATGCTGTTTAAATACCAGTCTTCATGATAGATCTAAAATCCTGTGCCACTCAGAGGGTTAAATCTCTTATGCCCATACACAAAAAGGAATATGTTAAGTATGCAAGTAATGGTATCTGTGTATAGTAAACCACATATGATTTCCTCCACTCCAGCTTCTGTTAATTTATTATTTACTAAGTAACAAAGTAGCTTTGCTGCTTGAGAAGAAAAAAAAAAAAAAAAAATAAAAAAGAAAAAAAAAAAAAAAAAAAACCTCTTCATCAAAATTATGCAACACCTACCACAGCACAATTAAAACTCTGACATCATTGTTTTGTTGAAAACTAAGAAAGTTCACCATTTCTTTGGTCAACACAGGATAGGAACTATATGGTGAGAGCTTAGCAAGGAAACACCTGCTTTAAGATATGTTAAATTAATATAAGGGTAGCCATTAGGAATTTATATTTCACAATACATCTTCAACTGACAAGTGACTAAGGATTTTAATGTATCTTTCGTCAGAAAAACTAGAATCCACGAGTTTCACTTCTAAAATTTATTATTATTAATTTTTTGAAATCTATAGACAAGTTTCATTTTTTTTCAGAGTTTCATGTAGTGCACTGCTATTTATAGCTATTTGTTATTTCATGTTTGGATGTTTAGCACAAATATTAAAAGCTGATTTATATTCTTTTATTCTGATGCATTTCACAGCAAGTGAAACATTTTGGACTACTGAATACTTCTTCACTTGTCTACATTATTTTTATATTTACTTTTGGTCTTCTCTTTCCATCTTCTATTTTGATTATAATTAAAGAATATGCAGAATATTACTGTGAGCAGTTTACAATGTCATGTCTCACCACAGAATAATACTACAATGAAGTCATTTCAAGAATATATCATATCTAATGAAACTAAATTCCATGCTGTTAATCATCATTCCATCTCAAGTACTTTTTTAAGTAATTTAACACTGGTAACAAATGTACACTTGGCCAACCTACGACACAAAAATATGGAGAATTTTCTCAAAGACAAAAAGATTGTTTAAACGATGAAAATATATTTTTAATAATGAATGGAACTAATTAATACATGAAAGTTCAGTTAAAATACTTACATGTCTTTTTTTTTTTAAAAACTATCTGTACCTTTTAATAGAAAAATAATACATTAATCAGTTTTCACACAAATGCTAAGAACAGTAGTAGATTTTACTTTCATTAAGAAAGAAGCTTCACTTATTCATAGCAATTACCACATAGGCCTGCTTTTGCTAATAAGTTTTCTAATGTATAATTACTAATATTAGATCTAAATTTAGTTCTTGTTTTAGTAACATTGAACATCCTTTTACAATCTGTACTACTATGGGAAATTGTCAGGATGGTGAACATTATTTTAGACAATTCACTCACTGTTCTTTAATATTCTTTCAGTTTTCCAATTAAACTCCACTGAGTGTCAATCCTTATTAGTTTTATAAAGTTTTCCAAGTTTTCTAATTGTAAACTACAATATTGTGACTGCAATTTATCAAATGCAACATCAGCATCGTCATTCAAAACTAAATGAAGTAAAATTGAAGAATCTAAAAAAATATAATATCAGAAAAAGATGCATAATCTAGAGCAGAAACATCTGCAACTTTACCATGCAAAATCACGTCATTATTGATTGGAAATTTATCTAGTATGTAATGACATACTCAATGCACTCAAGAACTTAAGATTTATTTTTCATACCCATTTCTTTAACAATCACAGTTGTTTTTGTCCTTGCACTTGAGAATTTATTAGCAGTTTTGTGTATGTGCATGTTTAAGAACATCGGCCCCTCCCCCGTGCTAAACTGGTTAAAAATTCGTAATAACAAACAGTACACATCACAAATATATTACATTTCTTTGACAAAATAATATAAGAAAAGTCATATGTGTACGACTTTTGAAATGCATATGAATATTTTACTTTTTTGCATAAGTAAAACAAAAAATTGTAATTTCTTAATCTATTTCTCGAAAGCATGTGAAACTCGCAGCACTCAGAGGTGAGATGAATGATATATTAACCACAATCTTGCTTTGTCCTCATTGGCTAATATATGCCAGATGACCTGCACTTGATGCTCATTGGATAACTGGAACACAAAGTTCACAGAAACATGCTCTCAACACACAAAGCAGAAGTGTGCCCTAATATCTCACTGATGAAACAACTTTGGTTTTCTTTTATATGTAATCTAGAGAAAAACCCAAGCACTTTCAGATGCCAAAAATCCCTTTTGGGGGTGCAAATAATGAAGTATTAAGCAAAACTACACAATCATGAGAAATTTTAAGAATAAGAGAATATCAGGAGAAATATATCGTAAATCGGGTTGGCGGAAGTAAAGTACCATAGGAAATTGGCAGAGTTGGCAACTCAATAAATACGGACCTTTACTTACAGAAAATAAATCATAATAATAAAAAAATCTTATGAGAAATATTCTATCTAAAGGCAATAACAGCAATTTAGAATAATACTTGTTTAAAGGCAGTCAAAATTATATCATTTTTATCTTCAGAATTCTTTAAAGTTACTTTACTCCCTCTAGCCAAGGTTCAAAACTAAATCATTCAAATCTTTTGAACTCTCATTGCTGCCAGCTGTTGCTAATACATTTAATAACTCTAATTCCTTGGGAGAGATATCACAATGAAACAGAGAGAGAGAAACGATAAAAAAGTAGCTAGAGAAAAAGAACCTAAAGGAAAGATGTGTAGATTATCTTTGGAATATCTTATCCATATTTACAAAGCAGTGAACTCTTTCAATCAGAATTACAGCCATTCTTTTACTACTGCCCTCACTTTTAAGGTTTTCGGAAATTCTCAAAAACTTTTACAGATAGTCTAATAAAGGATATAATTCCTAGAAACCAAGTGATTATTTTATTAGCAGTAATACAAGTAGCTGATGGAAAATTGAGGGGGGGGAAACAGAATTTAACACAGTTAACCTAATTTAAGGTATTTTCAATGAGACACTACTGTTACGTAAGAAAAGTATATAGAACCTTACTTAAGGAATTACGTGGAAAAGAAATGTGACAGACTTATCACAATAAGTTCTTTGGTACTCATGTATTATACTACTATTGATTGCCAAAGTAACACAGTGTGGTTGACCATGTCCTTTAGAATTCTGCAGTAATGACTGGCGATTGGCAAAAATTATTGTCTGTGGTTGATTGGATAATACATAAGTACCAATTTTTCTAATTACAATTGGAAAAATATTGAATTAATATAAAATCTGTATGCAATTCAAATAACAGTCAGCTCAAACTGTATCTTTCTATAGTACAAAAACCATTACATTAAAGTGAGCTGCTGTTTGAAAACAGAAAATGTAAGGAAAACTTATAATTTTATTAAAAACAAATTTAAACTACTATCGCTAACCTGTTCAGGTTCAATTTTTATCCTTTTCTGAAATTTATTGAAAGCTTTGTCTTTTTTCTTTACCACAATATCAAGGTCATCTACACGCACATCTTGCAATTCTCTTGGTGCTTTAGAAGATTGCATAAATTGATGATATTCTCTCATCTTCTCTTCATCACTTTTTTCTGCAGTTACTGAAGGCAGTTCTTCAGTTTCCGTAACCAATTCAAATTCGGGAAGTAAAAACTGACTTTTCAACTTCTTGTGTTTCTTTGTACCATCATCTGCACGAAAGACAAAGTATTTTCATTAGATTTAAGCAAATCATAATGCTTTAAAAAATTGTTTTTGATGATTTATATACATTTGAAAAAATTACCATAAAGTTTATTTCAACGTCGAAATAAACTGTTTATACTTATTAAATGTACTATTACAACATTCTACCCTTAGACATTTAATTACTTATTAGAAATTAAGGCTGATCTTTGGAATATGGTAACTGGTAGTTTCGCGACATTTTGGAGGTGATAAAGGTTACTACCTAGGACTTTGGTAATAATGTGAGAAGTACTCAGTTCCGATTACGCATTATTTTGTGTGAGGGAATGAGAGATCATGAGATATGTCATGTGACATTAATGGACGAATTACAGTTCTTTAATCGGAAAAGGGGGGGGGATTTGGAAAACTGTAGTACTATATTATTTTGTATTAAGCTTCATTGTGTGTTGTGTGAAATAATGGAAGTGTGCGTGCCACGTAATGAAGATTCTGAAGATTAGGTAAGTTAGTATTTTTAATCATTTGAGGAGGATATTATTTTATGCATTGTTCTAAATGTAAGGAGTAAATAAATTAATATGATATTATTGGAAAATTGTTATTAGCAATGATTTAGTTTAAAGTAATTAGGATTGTAATCTAATTTTTATTAATTTAATGTATGTGCTTATTTATATTTTAAGTAGTATTTTTTAATTTAATGATCGTGATTTTGTGAGTTATATGTTTGTAGTATTTTGGAATACTTTTGAGTCGAAGACATTTTCATGCATTTTCATGAAATTTTTCTAATTTATGAGAAAAAAGTAGTGTACATGGATATAGTGAAGAGTGTGCACAATGCCATTTTTGTGCAATTCTGGGATGTTTTTTTAAGTAAAAATAAGTTGACGTGTACATGGTTTAGTAATATTTTAATTAAATGATAGTTATTTTGTGAATTTTATGTTTGTAGGAATTTGGTATACGTTTCAGTTGAAGTAAACGTGCATGGAAGTAATTAAGTAATTTAAATATTTGACACTAAGTATTTGTAACCATTTGTAATGTTTACGGTATGAATTCGTTGGTGACGTTTATAACATAATAGATAATTTAGAGGTAAACGTTTTTGGATATTTTATTTATTTTATACATGGAAATGTTCATCTTTGGAAAGGGTATATACTTTTTGCGATCAGGTAATTTCATATATGTTCTTTTTACCGGATTTAAAGATTCACAAAATTTTCATGCATTTTCGGGAATTTTTTCCAATTTATAAGAAAAAAGCAGTGTACATGGATATAGTGAAGAGAGTGCGCAATGCCATTTTTGTGCAATTCTGGGATTTTTTTTTAAGTAAAAATAAGTCGACATTTACATGGTTTAGTGATATTTTAATTAAATGATAGTTATTTTGTGAATTTCATGTTTGTAGGAATTTGGTATACGTTTCAGTGTTGAAGTAAACGTGTGAAATAATTTTAATATTTGCATGGATTAATTTAAAATTTAAATATTTGACACTAAGTATTTGTAACCATTTGTAATGTTTGCGGTATGAATTCGTTGGTGACGTTTATAATATAATAGATAATTTAGAGGTAAAAGTTTTTGGATATTTTATTTATTTTATACGTGGAAATGTTCATCCTTGGAAAGGGTATATACTTTTTCGCGATCAGGTAATTTCATATATGTTCTTTTTAACGAGTTTAAAGATTCACAGAATTTTTTTGCATTTTCGTGCAAATTTTTGTAATTTATGAGAAAATAGCAGTGTAGATGGATAAATGTCAATGCAATGTCAATGTGTGCAATGCCATTTTTGTGCAATTCTGGGATGTTTTTTTAAGTAAAAATAAGTTGATGTGTAAATGGTTTATGTGTATGTGCTATTCTGAAAAACGCGCAAGGAGTTTGCGATTGTGCACTTTTTCTAATTTTGCAATTAATATTTGTCATGATTAAGCAGTTTTGTTACATAAAATTTCTAGCATAAGTGTAATTCGGCTAGTATTAATATTGTCATGATAAAGGAAAAAGTTTTGTACTAAAATTTTAGCATAAGTGTAATTCAGTAATTGAAAAAAAAAAAACAAAAAAAAAAAAAAAAAAAATAAAAAAAGAAAAAAAAAAAAAAAAAAACAAAAAAAAAAAAAAAAAAAAAAAAAAAAAAAAAAAAACAAAAAAAGAAAAAAAAAAAAAAAAAAAAAAAAAAAAAAAAAAAGAACAAAAAAAAAAAAAAAAAAAAAAAAAAAAAAAAAAAAAAAAAAAAAAAAAAAAAAAAAAAAAAAAAAAAAAAAAAAAAAAAAAAAAAAAAAAAAAAAAAAAAAAAACGAAAAAAAAAAATAGAGGGTTGCTGTAGCAGAGTTGGTCGCCAAAAAATCGCCAAGTTACCATAATCCAAAGATCAACCGAAATTAATTTGCTACTATAAATACCTTACAGCTATTTTTATTAGACTATAATTAGTACATCTAACTTTCTTTCAGAATGATTTTGATATTCAGGCTTTGTGGTGAGTAGAAGTTGGGTGAAGTCATCTAAGGCTTATTTTTTCAATTACATATGAATCAGCTTAATATTAGTAATATTTTGTTCATGATCCTTTTAATAATTCTTTTAAATAAGTATAAACACTTTTTAAAAATATCACATAAAATGGTACACATATGAAACGATTACTATATATCATGGAACATAACATGCAACCAAAGAAAGGGGTGTATAAGCACATCCTTTTCTTTATGAAAAAGCCTGAAAAGTATACTGTGCAAAAAAAAGGGGGGGACAGTTTTATAACTCCTATTCTACTGGGCCAATTGCCAAAATCCAGCCTGCGTTCTTCATGTCTCGAAAGCGCGACTTATGATATGTATTAGATTTATATATATAAATCTAATACATATCATAGCATTCTTCTAATATAGGTCTTTAGACACAAAATCAGACTTTTTCTGAAATTACATGCCAATTGTTTTTCCATATTTCAATTTTACGACTCAAATTATGCCAAACTGCCAAGTTTTGTAAAAATTGCATGATTAGTTTTTAAAAAATTAGCTCTAAAAAATTTAGCTCCTCAGTGCTAATTGAGTTAGGTATACATTTATTAATCTCTCTTTTTTTATTACTTGATTCTTTCTTCCAGAATTCGAAACTTAGGCTTACCCCAATTAATATTTGCATATTTTTTATGATTTAGTTTTAAAAGTTGTATTTTTAAATATTTTTTATAATTTTTTTGAAAAAATTTTGAATTACAGCCTATACAATTTCTACCACCATCTCAAAGTAGATGTATTTCTAAGCACACCTGCAAAAAATTAGAGTTTCTATTCAAAATTTTCTAATATATACATGAATTTACATATTGGTGCATTTTGAAATTTGGCATATTTGTTATAAGCAATCACAATGCCAAATGTGATTTATGCACGTTGTCAAAATTATTTGAAATAATGAATGATGACCATTTTCCTGCTCGTGTAAAGAGAACAAAAAAAGGAAAGGAAAATAGGTTGCTAGAAAGTAAGAAGTTTGGCAAGTGAATTATATTTTTGCACAAACTGAAAAAATTCGCCAAGATAAATTTTTAAATTTCTTCACAAATTTCTCAGCAAAAATTTTAAAATTTAATATCTAGGGATAATTTGAGTTGTAGACTCGAAATATGGAAACAAATTGGTATGTTATTTTAAAAAAAAAGGCTGATTTTGTGCCAACAGTCAAAAGTCTTTAATTTGGACGTCCATAATCCAGACCTCAAAGCTACAATTTTTCTGCGCATGGGTAAACGCATAATGCGTTTACGAATGCGCATAATACCTTTACGCATGTGCATAATACATTTACGGATGGATGTTTAATGTATAACGGACAGTATCAGCTAAGCTAAAATTATTTAATTATCTATTTCAGTTAAAGTTGCAGATTGCGTTGTTCCTTAATCTTCTAATTGGATCCGGCTTATTATTTTTTGCAGACTGTTAGAGCAATTTTATAAAAGTAAGCTTGAACTTTTGATTATGTCAAAAAGAATTTCCGATTCTAGAGCTGCCAAAGGATCTACAAAGCGAAAGCATGTTTCGATGTCCATCAAACAAAAAGTGGAATTGCTGCATAAAATGGATAAAGGCATATCCGTTATTTCTCTAACCATTCCGAAATCTGTTTATCAATTTCACGCCGCTCAGCGGGGGGCATTGCGGCGTGTTCAGTGTAACCAAAGTCAAGGGAGTGCGCAATCCCAAGTTTGTGCACAAACCTAGCGTCCATGTACTGCCAAAAATCAGCAATTTTCGCCAGGGGGCACCCGCAAATATATTTTTCCCCTAGATCATTCTAGAAAATAAAAGAGCAAATTATTAGGTAGTTCAAAAGTAACAGAAAAAGGAAAAATTTAGTAATTTAAAAAATATAGACAGTAGCACAATATGGTTTTCAAAGAAAAGCACGGGCTTTTTTTATATAGTTTTATTGTCAGAATAATTTTACTGGCACGCTTTATTTGAGTTGTGTCAGAAATTTATACAGTAGTGCAGCACAGTTTGAAACACAGTCAGGATTACACATATTCAGTACTTTTAATCCCTGATTGTCAAGTGTGACATGGTATTTTATATCTAAAAGAGATCAGTTGGTAAACTACAAAACCTCTATAAATCATACTGCTATTAACTGAGCTAGCAATCAATTGAAAAAAAATTACTCAAAATATATTACAACATTAGACAGCATACAGTGAAAATTATTAATACAGATGAATTTCTTTATCAATGAATGTAATTTTGGCCTTTATTTTTAATGATTAGTTATTTAATGGCCTTCCTATAGTTCATTACAGTAAAAAAACATGGCGTACATGTGTCCAAGATGAAAAGACATGCATGTTGCAGAATGGATAAATGTAGAAAACGGTGAACCACATTTTCAAGTTTTGAATCTTGCCAAAGAATGGTAAAAACAATGAGAAACGATGCTGAGGATAATAATCAAATGAATAATATGAAAATTAAAATGATGAAATATATTTAGGGTGCAGCATAGCATATTATTAAAATTCTGTCATACATAAATGACTGACTACCTTTTATTTATTATTTTCTATACCAAATAAATAATTACTCAAGTTGTATTTTGAATTCAATAAAATTCCACAGAAAAATTTTGATAAAGAATTCTCACATGGACACATGCAAGAAAAGCTGAAAGTTTCATTTTAAATAAGTATACCATTCTCAAATGATATGATAAAAAATGATTAAAATATACAACACTCTTAAGAGAATTTTTACGCAGCAAAATTAAGAAAATAATTCAATACACAAATTATAATTCTCTTACTATTTCCACACATATTTTTATGATTCCATTCCCAGTCACATTTCCGATGTTCCTCAGAGCAGTAATTCCTTTCCGAACATTTCTCACAGCTAATTGCACTCATGCAACCACACACATCACAAATTGGTTGAAATTGTTCTGCAGATGGATCATTGCAAGATTTTTCATTCAGTATAGGAGGATCATATGAATAGAACTCGTTTTGTCGAGGTAGCTGATTACGAAAAACGGCAAAGCTGCTATTACTAAATCTCTGATGACATTTTCCATTCAAGCACATAAAAACAAAAATAGTACGATGAAAAGTGTCTTCTTTCTCTGCCACTGGCGCATATACTTGAAGTAAGAAAGCAAGAGGTTTTTCACACTTTTTGCAAAGAAGATCAGCCGGATTAGGTAAATCTTTTAATCTGAGCCATGCTGGTTTGCCACCAATTTTGCTCGGAAAATATTTGCTGGATAGCTTCCAAGAAGCTCTCTTATCAGCAAAACCTAGCTCAACTGATTGAGAGGCCATAACTTGTACAACTTAAATTGTACAACTACTAATATCATACAAATTTGAAACAGTTAATCAAACCTGAACATGCTCAACCACAAACACAGACACATGATTTTCAGATGTTGCCATATAATTAAGTATGACTGGCACCAACACCTCCTAGAACTAACTCAAGGCCACGGCGCGCAGTTCGTGACGTCACTGCAGTAGGGATACTTTCGTCCTCGCCAACTTTAAGGGCGCCTTCTTAAATGTCCATTTGACAGGCTTATAATTAAAATTGAAATTTTTATATTTAATTCTCATCGTTTATAAATCTGGAAAATACCTTGCTTTCATTAGAATGTGAAGAACCGAGATTTTTATTTTTAGAATGTTTTTCGATACGAATAACTAGAAATTTTTAATTCCATTAAAAGTTATTACTGATGTTACTAAATTTAATCGCTGAGAAACTCTTGTTAACGAAAGAAAAAATCACATTTTCTTTGTACGAATTTTCGGAATTTTATTTACGCATAATTAAACAGAAAGACAATTTAAGACATGAAGGCAGGATATAGATCCTAAAAAATTGAGATAAATTCTAACTGATTTAAATTATGAAGCTAATTTACCTGGAATCATGTAGCAACATAAAATCATTAGTTGAAAACAAATATAATTAATCAGAGATGTTTATTGGTCAAGGGTCATATTAATTATACTTACAACAATTTATGCCTTGACTAATAAACATCTTTGATAAGTATAAGTAATATATCTATTTTTGACATATGTTGCCGAATAATAATAAATACTCATGTTTGAAAAAAAATAACGCTAAGCTTGCAATGATTTAAATAAGTTTTTATAATTATTTGAGACATTAGGTGCACAGAGAGAATTAAATATTATTTTGCATTTTAAATGGCAAATATCAAATCTCTGATAGAGGTCTGATATAGATCTAAATAGCTAACCTCTGATCTTTACAGGGAAATTTTATAACATGGTTTAGCACTATTGTGTGGAAGGCAAATGTAACAAATCCTAAACTGGAATGTTGAACACAACAAATGAAAAACACTATCATTGCATTATTACTGCCGAATAAAATTACTAAATATAATGCCCTTAGGATGCACTAAATTATACATTACAATTCGAAACAATTTATACAATTCGAAATACTTTAGATAATATGTATATGCTTATTTTCAATCAGTCAACTAAAAAGAGGAAGGATTGTTCCAATAGAGGAAAAAGGAAAAGAAGAAAATCATCGAAATTGTCTTTGCAGTCAATTCAAGAATTATTCAAAACTGTCTGTATTTTTACACATTAAGTTTTTCGGCTTTAAACTGATGGCATACATTATTCAATTTCATTTAGAAAAATTTGTAGCATAAAATAACATAGGTTAGGTTAAGTTATTTTAATTCGGCAAAGCCTCGAGGGCTATCTGCCTAAGGGAATGGATGCCTTCGTTGAGGACTTTTTAAGGGAAACTGGCTCGTATACACGTTACACATGGGGGAAAACCCCGAAAACACCCATGCAGCCAGCCCGTTCGCGGGATTCGCACCTCGGACCGAACTACCAGTGTTCAGCGACTTAACCGCTCGGCCGCTGGTGGACGGCTAAAAAAAATATAAGTTAATGTTTCTTCACGACTAATAGAAAGAAAATCATACTTGTCTATTAATTGTATAAAGTGAAACAGGTAACTAGTTTTGAAGAATCATGTCTAATTAGATAGAAAAATCTTTTGTCAAATAAAGAGTTGCATAAATTTAATTATTTACTTACAAAAAATACGAAACACTTGCATGCAAAGATTGTTATAATCGGATTTAATTATCTAAACTAGAATTAAATACAAGATTTTGTAAAACTTCATATTTAATTATTTACTTTATATTAAGTGAATTTTAAGAATATCAGGCATGAACTCACAAAAATTTAAATAGCGTATTTTTTCGCATTGAGATCAGAAACAAAATTGGTATTAGTTACAAAAATATTATCAAGATTTTTCAAGGTCTTCGGATTTTAATAAATACGCTGTTCCTGTGACAAATGTATCGAGATATTTAAAGGCAAGCATTTTGCAACATACAAAATGTATTTACAATTTTGAATTTTTATTAATCCTACATTTAATCTAATCCTACTTTTAAGTCACACATTTGTTTAATTTACTTAACTTGGTAAATGATGCTATTTACTACAAAGTGACTAGCATGATGAAAAAAGTGCCATCTGCTATAGATTGAACGATTAGCATGATGATAAACAGTACTATTTGCTATAAATTAAATTAATAGTATGATTAAGTCATCATATTTATATAATCACTATTAGACTTACAATAAGATTAAATATGTTTACTTTCTATAAATGTATGTACTCGCTTTGGTTTATGATAATTATAACATACTTAACACAGAAGCACTTAAAAAAAAAAAAAAAAAAAAAGAAAAAAAAAAAAAACAAAAAAAAAAAAAAAAAACAAAAAAAAAAAAAAAAAACAAAGAAAAAAAAAAAAAGAAAAAAAAAAAAAAAAAAAAAAAAAAGAAAAAAAAAAAAAAAAAAAAAAAAAAAAAAAAAAGAAAAAAAAAAAGAAAAAAAAAAAAAAAAAAAAAAAAAAAAAAAAAAAAAAAAAAAAAAAAAAAAAAAAAAAAAAAAAAAAAAAAACAAAAAAAAAAAAAAAAAAAAAAAAAAAAAAAAGAAAAAAAAAAAAAAAAAAAAAAAAAAAAAAAAAAAAACAAAAAAAAAAAAAAAAAAAAAGAAAAAACTAAAATATTCATTAAAAAAAAAAAAAAAAAAAAAAAAAAAAAAAAAAAAAAAAAAAAAAAAAAACGCAATTTACCTTCGAAAATTTTTTTGGCTTGAAATTGCTTCTATGAATCGCCTTTATCCATTTATTTAAGAATTTCTTCTCTTTCGGAAAAGAGAAAACCTGTACTTTAGGACCATTTGGATAGTTCTCTTTACAGTTAGGTACACAGCATGTGTAAACCATATTAAAAATTTGAAAAACAAATAATCAAGTGGAATAGTTATAATATGGAAATATCTGAAAAAAGAAAGAAAATGTCCACTGTTCTTATGGACGACTTCTGACCGAGTGACCGTCAAAACTCCGGAAATCCACCCACCACAGTCCTGGGTGGGGAGAGTTAAATGAAATGCAATCCCTACTGAAACTGACGTCACACCTCCTCCTGGGAAACGCGCCGTGGCCTTAAGTTAGTTCTAGGAGGTGTTGCTGGCACGCAGGCTCCCTAAACGATAAATTGTTTCATAACAACAACGAAACTATATATAAGTTAGCTATTAATATATAAGTTAACTATATATATATAGTTTATATAAAACCTATCAAATTATTAAAAAGCTTTTGTATTTGAACAGCGCTAATCTAAAATTCTTGCTCAAAATACCTCAGGAAAGTAAAAAAGTATTACTTTAAGTAATCTGGCAACATTATGTTCATGTGCCAATACCTTCAGTTGCTTCGTGGTTGTAGGTATTACTTGTGTAAACTGTCTACCGTGTAGTAGATTTGGAAAATATAACAATGCAACAGCTAGTTTTTCTCTTGGGGTTTTTGCAATTATTTTTTGGATCGGAGACTGTCAGCGATAAGAGAATCGCTAGAGCAAGAATCGAGGTAATTTATTACAATGGTGTAATTTAGCTCTTAAATTCGCAAAGAATGGCGTGCCACATGTTATCATTGAGATCCAAGACGTGGTAGTAGTAGCTTAAAAGTAGTTCTAATATTGTGCTTAATATATCACACAGCAGTAAACACTGTTTCTAACGTGTGCTGTAGTAACTGTTTCTAACATAGAGGTAGAAAAGGAAGGAGGGGCCAGTCGGCACTAGAAGTGAAGCACTACTTTGAAGCTTGGGTCACCAGATGCGGTGTTCTTTGTTTACATTCAGAAGCTCGCTTGACACGGTTCTGATAGTATTTCGACAACGACAGTTTCATACAAATCGAAAAAGGGACACTTTCGCATGAAAGAAACATTCATAGTGTGATGGATAATAGCAATTTGTATAGTTTAGTGACATTTACGCAAAAGTCACATCTTGGTTATTTTTCGATAACTAACAACAGCGCGATTTTGATTATATTATGAATTTGTTTTATAAAATTCTAAGCTGTTGAACTACAAAAAATATAGATTTTAAGAAAAATGTTATGCTTAAAGAATGAAAAAATACCTTACGGTACATTTAAAATTGTATACGTCTTTCGATACCCTTGGTAGAGTATTCGCTACTTTTATTTTATTTTCCAAACCAAACGCCAAAATGTTTTAAATAAAACAAATTTTTTTCACATCCATATATATATTGCAAAAAGCATGTATCTGCCTTTGACAAAAAATACATAAATATTCATTAAATTATTTATAAATGTATTTGAAATGAATTTATTCACTTATAAACAACTGTGAAAGTACTGTGAAGAAATCTAATTATTAAATGTATCTAATTTATAATAAATGTTATCTAAATATATAATAACCTTAATATTGAATTCATAAACTGAAATCCTGTTGACAAATACGTTATAAAACTATTTAAGCAAGAATTGTTCGTATTGGGAAGCAATCTGTTAAAAGGTATTGTAAAGCAAATGCTATGAGATGCGCACTTGAGTAAGTAATAAAGAGTTTTGGAATATGTACTGTTAAAATGAAGGGTAAAAAAAAAATCTGATAAGTATAATTAAAAGAATTATTCCCCTTACATTTTATAATAGCTCAGTTACAAGTTTTAAATATACTTAAAAAAAAAAAAAAATTATTTTATTCCCTTTCAGAAATCTTCAGAGAAAGTCAAGTACTATTTAAAGTATTTCGCTAATTCCTAAGAATTCTCTAATTTAAAATGAACTGAATAGAGCATTAATTATAAATTGACTTACATTTTTCAATTTAAAAGATGCCTCAGAAGCCAAAAAATCATGTTATATTTAAGAAAGTATTTTAGGAAGAAGCTCTATAAATAGAAAAGAAATAATGCATAATTTTAATATTAATAATACAATAAACTTTGATCTTAATTTTTGTACCTTAACCGAATAAAATCGAATTACCTTAATTTTTTTTCCTAATGTAATTAACGAAAACTTGTGAAAATATTTCATTCAAATTAAACCATTCTGAGAAAACTGTTCTGTGAAAAGTATAGCATTTAATTCCGTTCAGAATGAAATGTTGTTTTCATATACTTAGGACTCTGAAGTGTTGTAGAAAAAGAAAATATATACATTTGTATGTATATTTCCGACGTAATTACAAAATATTTACATCCGAACGCGTCAAATCCCATTGAACTCGATGGTAAATAATCCAATGTTTTGGTCACCACGTAGGATTGCTGGTGCTTCAGAGCAGGGTACGGGAGAAACTTGTTTAGGGCAACTCCATCTTACTTCCTACCTCCATGGTTTCTAACGTCTGCATGCTATATTGGGATATTCGGCGACAGTTTTCTAAATCGCGCCAACATATATTAAAATTCTGCAATATTTTCTTTTCTGTGTTGTTTTTTTAGACACTTTTCTAATTAAGGTACTAATTATACGAAAAGAGAAGACTATTTTATCAGTAATAATAAAGACAAGTGATGAAAATCTAGAGCTGAATAAACTTAGGGTCTCCGAAATAATCTTACTTATCTGATGATGGAGAAAAAATGTATAAAAGGGGAAGAACAGATATCGCAGCAGTTTGAAAAGCACCAAAGTATGTAAATTATCAGAACAAAGGCAATTCTGGAAACATTGAAGTTTTTTACTTCAATTTAATATTTATTTTTCTAGCAGTTCAGTAGATAAATTAGTGATATATACTGACAAAAATGCCATGTTACTTGTCACCATATACATATATATAGAAATTCAAATTCAGAAAAACAAATATCAACCAATGGTTCTTGTTATGTAATAAATATTATGTTTTGTACATATGTGGAACAGATAGTACTATTAAAAGTATCATTTAAATTTATAAATGAGTTGCAAAACGAAGTATCTTTTTAAGGAAAAGCATAAATGTGGAAATATGTTCTAAAAGGGAGGGTTTTATGTGTCTAGTAAAAATTACAAAGTGAAAATGTGTGTGTATTTTTCATTTAAAGTACTTTACTGTAGTCGCAAGAATATTAAAATTGTTACATAAATTAAGGCAGAAAAAAAGAAGATTGCTATTCATCTGAGCTCAAGAATAATTACTTAAAAGGAAGAATATTCATTCATCTGAGTTAAAAAATAATAATAACAACCCAGACACATTGATCCTTTCTTTCTAACAACCTTTACAGTGTATCATTTTATTCTGTAAATGATGCAATAATTTAATGAGCTATATGAGATGATTTTGTTAAGTTTGTAAAATATTAATTGATGGATGTGTCACTTTAGTGTTTTAAAAAACCAATCTGATTAAAACAGTACGAGGCAACTGAATTATAGTATATTAAATTATTTATTTCAATTCAATGGGATACTGATGAGAGCAAAGTTTTTAAACTATTTTAACCTATTCATATGCTTACATCGGTTCAGAATGTATGGCTTAGTATTCTACTGTGGCAAATGCTAAAGTTGCAGCTAATTTCATTTGGAATTCTGGTGGGAAAACTTATGATTATAGAGATGTAGTTTTCCATGTAAATTATCTAAATTCTAATGAATTTCACTTATAAAGGTATTTAGGTAAAAGTATGTTTACAGGTACCCCTTTGCGATTTTTGGTGATACATGGATACCGAGTTTGTACAATTTTTTGGCTTGTGTAGCTGTGCTTTTTGCACTGAAAATCATTGCTAGACAAAGCCAAAACAACAAGACAAAAAGTTGCACAAACTCGATATCCATGTACACAGTGACCTATTTTCACTTAAAAAAAATCCTAGAATTGCACAAAAATGACATTGTGCACTCCCTTGACAATACCCATGTACACATCGACCTATTTTCATTTAACCTTTTGAGGCCGGGCTTTGGTAGCAGTAAAAGCTACCAAAGGACAGGAAATCTTGAAGCGAATGCTTTCCCCCCTTTCAAAAATCACCTCCTATTTGCAACAAAGATTCTTTTGTGTAGTTTAATGGATTCTAGGAGGGGTGCATCTATGTCGCAAAAAGGAAGACCTTTGGAAGAAATAAGTGGTGGTTAAAACCCTAGGGATGTCAAATTTGACATTTCACCCCTCTTTTCAGTCTGGAAAATGGGGGAAAAAGACATAGCCACTAAAGTGGGCGACCCCGTCTTTTCAAAGAGAGGACTCTATGGCTACTATAATGGCCATCCTGTCTTCAAAAGGTTAAAAAAAATCAGAGAATTGCACAAATTAGGCTTCGCACAATCCCTCGACTTTGTACATTGTGCACTCCCTTCACACATTGAACTATATTCACTTAAAGTCAAAGGAGCTGCCAACAAAATATAGTCTCAATAAACTACATTTTAAATCAAACAATGAAATAACATAAAAAAGGAAATTCATTTTTGCACTACACAAAGGAAATATCCACTTGCCTTATTTACGAATTAACACGTCTTCAGTCATTCAAAATTCCTTAACAGCATTCATAAACTTCCTAATGTTATCTGTATACTGGCATCGCCACATAAATTCACAAAATAAGAGGCAGAAATATCCTCCGTAGCGACGTTCGACTGTACACATTTCCGACATACAACCATACGCATTTCCTTCCTACAAACAGGACGCCTAATAATGCCTATTAAGTAAACCTTCATTTACACACCAGTCATGTAATGCTCTTTTCTCCTTTCTTTCCAAATCGTACAGAAACTTCAAATTAATCTTATCACATACAGCCATTTTACCTTTAAAGCACAAAACAAGCAGTATACTTCCCGATCAACACACGCCACAGCCCTTATGAATTTACCGCAATCATGCAACCAATTACGTGATAATAGGATTTCCATAAAATTCAACTACTAAGGCTGCCATAAATGAAACAACAACTTCACAATAATACAAGAGATACTCTTTTCTCTACTCTAACCGGTATTTATTCTTAAGGCTGATAGCTTTTGTCCCGATTAAACCTATTCTAAAACTCAATTTCATTTAACACTTGAACAATCAAATAATAATGAAACAGTCTGTCATTATTCAAAACATTTTCTTTGTTTAAAAATTTTTAACATACGCAAATATAATGAAGCAAATAAATCCTGACTAATCAACTGTACTCTTGTTGTTGGGACTGGATTCAGAAATGTATGGATGTATGTGTACGTACTTACTATATATTCCGGAATATAATGCACACTTTCAAAATAAGAAAGATAGAAATTTACGGGTATTACTGAGTATAAAAAATATAGATTTAAAATTAAGGAATGAGTATAAAAAAATTAGATTTCTATTTCTACCTAAATGCTGTTTCTTTAAAGAAATGACATACCTTATGAAATTAAAAATGTTCTTTATTGGATAACATGAAAATTTCGGCATTTTTGTCTTCCATTACGTCTTTAGGCAAATCATCAAATTCTGTTTTAGCTTTACCATTGTTTTTACTCTGATCCATAAATAAATCATCATCATCATCCATTCCATCTTTCACCAACACCCTTGCTGTAGCACGATTTCCATTTTCTTTCCCAAA